AACAAGTGAAATAGTATTTTGCCATATTACAAATAATTTAACTATCGTTGAAAACTTAATTTATAATATATCACATATTTAAAAATTAAAAAAAATTAAATTCTAAAACAAATCGCAGAGATAGCCAAACGAAGAGCATATCGATCAGTTGTAGCGATTAGTTGTAGCAACTGCAAAACGAATAACATAGCGACTCGTTAATCGCTATCGCCATCGCTATCGCCAGGGCCTGTCAAATAAACAAGGCCATTGTATATCATCGCTTTCACATTTCACCCTCTTAAGATGACAAAAAGAAACAGCATTAAATGTTCCATGCGTTTCATAAGATACTACTCCTAAAGTCAAAACATACATATAAAGCAAACTTACATATCATTTTTTATTTATCGGTTATGTTTCTTTTTCATCACGTCATCTTCAGGGGTCTTTGTATGGTCACCGACTCATCACCATTGATTTGATTATGATACACTTCCTTTTATTTTAGTTTATTTCGTATACAATAACAATCATGAGATATGCTTGTTGTAAACTAGTATTAATTTCAATCGTAAAGTTAGAAATATATTGGGTTTGAGGCTCTCTATCCACGGATCCAATTGATCTCATCCAACAATCAAGATTCTGTACATGGCCATTTGGACATGAATCTATTACGAACATTATGTATATCGTCGAAAATTTATAAGGATTTGAATTCGTATACGGAGTATAAAACACTAAGTTGTTATATGTGAAAAGAAAAGAAAATTGACGTATGAAAAACATTAGCTATCGATCAATGTTTTCTCCACCGCCAAAAAAACAGAAGCTTAAAGCCTAATCACCAAAATATAAACACACATAATTAATTAGTCAGTCAATACCCGAACCATCAAACCGGACCATCATAAAATCACGGTTCGTTCTTGACTCCAAAAAAGGCCAAAATAAGCTATTTATCACATCGAAGAGCGGCTCTGATTTTCTCAACGGTGCAAGATATCAGATTATGAACGGTCTCGATCGATTCCACGTTGAGTTTAGCCGTAGGAAGAGAGTTAACCAGAATCTGAAACGCTACGGTTAAAAGCGAACCGGTTTCTTCCTCATCCACACCTTGACCATCTGGTAAAATCGCAAAACCAGAAGGTAGAAGTGCCACGTAAGCAGAATCTGCACCGTTCATCACAGAATGCATCGCAGGTATATCAACAGGCGCGTACACAACAGTCGCTCCTGACGCGTCTATGCTTGTCTCTTGTAGTATCAACATACTATTCTGGTTCTCATTCGTCGCCTACCAAAAAAAAAAAAAAAATCAAGGGGTAAAAAGGTAAACAAACACCAATAATGCAAATAAAGGTCCCAAATGTCTTATTGTTTTTGACTTTTTTCTTTCTGCATGCTTCCAAATTCCAGATTTGTCCTTTTCCAATCAACCATGACAAGATTCATAGTATGACCACAAGCTTCATTTCAGAC